CGAAATTTATGGATCCATTAAATTTTGCTGTTTATACAGTCTTCAAATCTTCGAAGACTTCTTTCTTCATCTCGACTGCGCTGGGCATTAGTGTATCGGAGGCTCTGTTTCTAAGAATATCTTAATGTGTTTAATGTAGAATCAGGCGCAGCTCAACTAAAGCAGAACTTGATTCAAGGTGATATATGTATAGTACAGCTCAAACTCATGTGGCAATAAGTTGTTTTACTAAGCCGAAATTAGAACCCCTAATTTTCCATTATATGGCGGTCACCAAATCTCCTAAGTTTTCTCTGTAACGTCGTGAACGAACTGCGTTTTTAGTACAAAAACTCGAAACGGAACAGGCAAAGGGTTGCCAGTTGAAGTATAATCGAAGAATGTATTTTGTCACTCTGCTGCCTTTTGCAATATAGAAAAAGAAATTAAGGCAAAGAGCTGCATACCGATCGACGTTTAAAACTACCTTTTTGGTGAATTGCATTATGGAATACATTATTTTGAAATTTTCACTGAGCAGGAAGAACGATGTCGGCATATAGGGACAAGCAAATCAAAACAGTTAAATTCGTCATGTGTGAAGCAGAATTTTAAGATCAATGTTAAGCTCGTCGCATTTGAAATCTTAAAATATTAAAGCAGGGATGTGACGCAAGAAAATATTTCCCAATGTACACAACATGACATATTTACGAATGAACATTATAAATAGACATATTTTTATTAGTGACGGATAGGCGCGGTCAAAACTGAGCTCACTAAATACCCTACTACCGTGTGGACGCCACTCGGCACAATATACTGAAAATCTAGTTACATTAATCCAGCGTATTTTAAAAGATGTAGAAAGAAAAAACTACTGGATGTTTTTTGGAAATCATCGTCTATTCCAAATTGGAATTTTGGGCTGTTCGGTAACAACCCTACTTTAAATTGAGCGTAATACATCAACATATGGTTTTTTTAATACATTAAGAATTTTTGACTTCTCCGTACCAGAAAGTTTCATTTAAATATTTAGCGGTCATGAGTTATACAATCTACTCTACCTAAAAGAACTAAAAGAGTACTAAGTGTTTGTTTGTTTACATTATAGGCTGCAGTAATTAATTGCCCTAACGGATGTATTCTGAATGAACACCACAGAATCGTTAAAAGGCTCAGGATTAGAAATGTTTTCTGGAGCAGAAACATTCTATTTATTTAAGTTTAACATTAAAAAAAACTTTGTAATTTTCTGCCAAACGAGAAAAATAAATAATTTTTTCGTCCCTTTATTTCAATTAAATATATCTTAATATATAAATGCAGTCCAAACCAATGATATAAATGCACAAGACATAAATGGTCATTTTTACGGTATTTGCTTTTTATAGCGGTGGAAATGAAGCTCCGTAAAAGGCCGGCATCATATCTTGTCTTAAACGAAGTGAGAATAGGCTTCACGTTAATCAGTATATTAAACTAACTGGATGCCATCTAGAGAGTGAGTATTTATCTTTCGCAAATGTTGGCATTTTGCACGAATTACTGTGTCAGTAATCTGGAG